GTCTCCCGCGCAAGGGTTTGATTTTTTCCATGTGGCGTTTTGTGTGTGTGTGTTGGTGATCCTTGCTCGGGCCGCAGCAGCACAGTAGCAGCTGCAGCAGGCGTGTAAAGTTGCAGGGGAGGAGGAGGAGGAGGAGGAGGAGGGCAGTATGATGGGCACGCGTACATGTCGAGTGTAGTGGTGTCTGGTTTTGTTGTAGGGTTTGGATGTCGTGTGAGTGGTATAGTCTTCCGTGTCTGTCAGGTGGCACGCACGCTGTCGGCGGTGGTGTATGCAAATCCCCGTCTCGTCGGCTAGGCGGTGGCGATGATTGATTTCGGTCGCGGTGAGGTGGTTGCAGCATAGCGCACCTCCACGCGATGGAGCACGCCTCTCAACTAATAGTTAAGCACGTGCATTGTAGTAGTAGTAGTAGTAGGCTTTTTGTCACCGAGCGGGGGGGGGACGGGAGAAGGTGACGTGTATCGCTAGTACTTTACGCAGGGCGATGCCATGGTATTGCTGGGTGCGCCCTTGTTTTTTTTTCGGAGAAACGCTGTGGGATGCATCATCTTCATCATCCCGGCATTCATTGTGGAGAGCCTATCTGCTGCAAGGTTCTACAGCAGCAGCAGCAGCAGCAGATAGGGGGGCAAAGAAGTGATGTGAGCGTGTGTGTGCGTTTTTTGTTTTGGCGCAAGGCTAGCTGACGAGTTCCTGGTACAGCATATCGTTGAAGTAGCGCATCCGCCTGCGGTGGCACTGCCACCTCCCCCCACCCCCACCCCCCCTCGTCCCTTCTCGCACTTGCTGCTGCAATTTCTGCCGCCTTGATTTTGGTGTTGTTGGCTTCGTTCGTTCGTGGAAAGGAGGTGTTTTCCCTCTTTTTTTGATTGCCCCCACCCACCCCTTCTCGTCTTGACTTTATCCTGGTGTTTTTTTCTTGAGTTTCGCCGCCCCACACCTTCCTACATAGTCACGGGAGGAATAGAGGGCGAGCAGTGCGGGGGGGGGTATTCGAGGAGGATAGCGTCCGTCGCATCTGTACTGTTGCTGTCGTCGTCGTCATGTTGCCCTTCTTTGTCTTCCCCCCTAGCTTACCCCTTTTGCCGACAAACAAGCGTGTGAAATTTTGCTATTATGTATCGTGGTGTTCGAATTGACACGTTACCTTGCGTAACCCCCCCCCCCCCCCCTAGCCCCTTAACATCGTAAAAATGGCACACCCTAACAATGTTACTGTTG